TGAAATCATAACATTGGTTTTTTCGCAATTTCGATGTACCAATTATCAGACCGCGAATAGTATTTGGGAAAAGGGCCCTATGGCGACGATTTGTGTCAATTCCTAACCCCACTTTTTCATCGAAAGTGGTGACACTGAACGTTTCCTCTTTCTGAACAATCCGCATTGTGTGGTGGTTGAATGATATATGCAGTATGTATAAAGAACCGCTAGCGTTGTGGAGCTCATTTATATCATGAAGGTAAAACGTAGCATATCTAAAATAAACGAAGGAAATCAAAGGGGCAGAGGAATTGTTAACGCACTGATCATTGTGATCCTTGAAAGAATCAATTGGAACGAGTCTGCAATTAACACGATATATCGTATCCCAAAAATACAAGAGTTTATCCAATAGACTCTAGGAGGAAGGAATGCATCTTGGTAAGTTACCAATATAATGAAGCCCTACCAAACGGAGATGGGTATTCATCTCAAGCCCCAGCATTAGAAAAACTAGCTGAATCACCTCGGAAAGCTCTTACAGTAATTAATTTATTGCATTAAATAGATAAAATGGCGGTACCACACTTTCGAAGTATTTCCATGGGATATCTTCAACCCAACTCTGGCCCACATCGCATACAATCAGCTATACTGAATCTCGATAGTATTCGCGGTAATGGGCTGCATATAAAAAGTGGAATGGAATAGTTGAATATTATGAAAGTCATGGTGATTTGATGCCACCTGAGGAGGAGGAGGAGTCTGGTGTGGTCACCTATGCTTGAAGTTCCTCTCAGCTACAGCGGCAGAAGTGAAATAAAAATTGTAAAATATAGAGAGACAAAGTATCAAGCGGATGGAGCATGCATCATTGGCCTTTTCAAGATTACGCTCCTCACTGAAAATGAGTGAAGAACAGTTGGCTGATATGCCGAAAGAAGTACTCATTAAGTGTGCCTCACATGAGATAGCTCTAGTGTGGAATAAATTAGCCGAAAAATTACAAAACGATCCGAATAAAGCCAAATCCCAATTTTGTGAAGAACATTATGGTGAAGAGGAGAAAAAGGAAGAGGGCGGCCAACATGCCAACAACGATGTGAATGATGGACTAGCGCCAAGAAAAATACTTCGTTGTTTTCGTCAAGTGAAAGATGTAAATGTGACAATCAATTAGAAATATGATATTAATTCTTCACCTATCAAAAACCGAGGCATCCTCCATTGTTGTGGGCAGCAATGAGGAAGATTAACGTTTGTTTTTGGTTTTCGCTGTTTTGTTTATTTTCATTTATGAGGAGTTAGGTCGCAAACATTCATTATTTCTGGAGATCGCAGTATCCTGAATGCGGACTTTTTTTCACCAATCGAAGTAGATGTAAAGAATACTCACGGCTTGGGGTTACATGGTTTCTATTTATACTATTCCATACTCAATATAGATGAGACGAATAACAAATTAGGTTATTGGTTCGAAGAGGGAAGCGTTGTTGTGGAGACACCACCAGGCGCCTGTAAAATAAATGAAATAAATAGAGCAATACAAAAGGCTCTAGAAAGTAGAACTCCGCTGAATTGGCGGAATATTGATGATGTGTTCTTCCTCCGCGCTAACAATAATACGCTCAAATGTGAACTCAAGTCCGAATTCATGTTGGATTTGGAGATTTACACTTTTATAGCCAAAGTGTTGGGCTTCGAACCAAAAATTCACAAGCCCAATGTATTGCATTAATCCACTTCACCTGATGTGTACATCGTAAAGGTACTACTGATACGGGTTGATTGAAATATTATCACCGGAGCATACCTCGATGGCGAGGAGGTTCACACAGTCACGAGTTCGAGGTTGATGTGAAGTCTAGATACAAACTTTCTAAGGAGCCAAAAAATATAATATATCTACCAATCAGTCCGACTTGACTTTTGGATGATAACGACCATTTGGTTCGACTTTCGAGGACAGAAGATTGTAGAGAAGTTGAAATTGAGACAGCTCAATCAATTTTCTACATCGATTTGGAAGATGGGTTTCTGCTTCAGAAACCAATCAGACACCATATAAGCTATATGCGAGCGATATAAATTTCTTGAAGTCAATAGAGTTGAAAGTGGAAAGACGAAGGATCGGAAATAAGTGAACGATGGTTGCCACAAGCTCTACTCGCTAACAATTGTAAGTGTTTGATGAACCAATTTTTTATCATTCACTTACCTACATAAGCATACATATAAACCATATAGTTTTGAATCATTCAAGAATTCCAATGAAATTAGGATAGCTGTCAACTTTCAAGATTTGATACTAGATATTGCTGAGAGCTACATTTATATCGAGGGAAAATTTATCCCGAATGATTCGTCAAAAACCTGTCATCTGTCCAATATTGCACTAGAATTTCTGTTCGATGGAATCCGTTATGAAATAGGTGGCGAACAGGTGTGTATGATTCAAAAACCAGGCATCACCACTACAATGAAAAGTATGATATCTTATGGTGAGACAAGCACCAGATTTTTATTCACGGTTGGATGGGGTCTCGATGGAAATAAACAGGTGACTCTAGAGACATCCAGTCATACATTCACTGCAAAACTACCGCTTAAATATTCAATGGGGTTTGCCAAGGACTATAATGAAGGTATTCTGAATATAAATCAGAAAATTATACTCATCATAACACGCACATTCATAAACTCCGATATGGGGGAAGTTGATGCGAACAAACCCGAATGAAAGATTAGGCATGTGATGCCGTCCGACAGGCAGAAATTGAAGTAATTGAATCGATTGAATGGAAGTTCTACAGCAAAAATCAAGTTAGCATATAGGATGTGGTATTTGTATGAGTTACCGGCCATCCGTGAAACAACTTCAGATATTTGGGCAACTAAAACAACTAATAGCCTCGAGCGTCCACGCTACATCATTATCGGTTTCCAAAACTCTGATAATCCAGATGATAGATCCAAAAACGCTACGAAATTCATCCACGCAGGAGTGAATAATATACGCCTATACTTGAACTCAAAAGTTTATCCATATGAGGGCTGGAGTTTGGATTTTAACAGAGAGTAAGATGCTGTGGCTTACTATGCATACGAAAATGTTCAACGTAGTTACTATGGCAAAGATAAGGTTGAATCAATGATGAGTAATGATGAGTTCCGAAAAAATCCGTTATTCATATTCGACGGCTACCACCAGCCTGGTGCAATAATAGTTATTTATGTATCAAGGGCGTAAAGTAGGTGTTTATGGCCTGTGGCGTGAATAATGGCCCGATGGCGCTAGCCGAGGGCCATTACACGCTGAAGGCCATAAACGCATTTCACGCACGAGATACATACAAAATTTTATGCACTAGTGGTTTATTTTCTGACTCAAAGGTAATGACTTTAGATTTCGATAAACTAATATTCCCCAGAGTTCAATTTGTTGCGTATTAATTCAGTAATCAAGAGAAGCGTAATGTTAATGGATGATTTACATTTGAAAATTATCCTACGAATATTGCGATTATCGTAATAGTAAAACTCTCTCAGCTCTAGAAGAGATTCATTCTTCAGAATTTAACAATATGCATACCCAGTATATAAACCTAACTTATTTTGACGTTGTCAATCAATCTGATGGATGTTGTCTATAGCAATACATCCAATGAACGAGCTGAATTGTCATTCTCTGACTGAGAAGTGGAATTGTGATAATAATAATAGCGAGACTATGGAATCGGATAAAGTAGAAGTTTATGATATACCGCTGGATATATTAGAATCTAGGAATATGATCATAGGTTTTTCATGAATTGATACGTGGATATAAGGTGACTCAGAACAGCGGGCGGTAAAGTGCACTTTACGGCCCGTGGGCCATAATGAGCCCGCGGGCGGTAAAGTGCGACTTAACGCCCGCAAAACCGGGCGGTAAAGTGCACTTTACGGCCCGCTAGTGCATAAAAACTTTTACTGTGGACATAAAATTGGAGTTTGAAAACCGCCAAACGAAGTTTTTGCCAAATAACAAGGTTTTCGCACTCATTTTCCATGACGCATATCTGACAAATAGTGCATTGAAAGGGTCCTTAGAGATGCGTGCTCTTTGAACACGATAGATATGGATCCACTCTCCACTGACACCAGCAACACATTAGTTATCAGATCTTATCATGATATTCACCATTACTCATACTAAACGATACTGTTGTTCACTATTATCAATAAGATACAAACGTGTTAAAAATTATTGTTCCATTTTTTACATCAAAATATTATACATCACGTAAAAATGCTATAGGAGCCTAATTCACCCCCGTCCATTGCCTTCCAAGTAGTATTTCCGGATCAGACCATTTGGTAACAATTCGAATAATCCATGAAGGAATTGTTCCAAGTCCTCTTCAACCCTAGCTTGAAAAATGTGCTCCAGAGTAATGTTGGTGTATTCATAGCAATTACATAGTAGGAAACCAATGTTATGTTTGTCAGCGTGTTTGAGGCGGCACTGAACTTATTCTTGATCAAAGCACACACTGATATTATGATATGTCGCATGCAGTGTATCAGAGTGAAAAAAATCTTCCTCAAGGTCACCACTACAATTATTCGAGAGGCAATATTCGTCTCCCACCCACCCAAGGCCACCTCATCCCCAAGATCACTCCCAATGTCACTTATCCCAAGGTCGCCACCGAAAGTAATTCCTTCAAGGTCCACCCCGAAGGCCACTTCCAAGGTAACTTCCTTCGAGGTCACTCCCCTCAAGGACGCACTCGACTCTGGTCATGGAGGAAGATTTGGTAATAGCTGAAATCTTCTACTCACATTTCTTATGACTCTCAATGCATCAAGAAGGCGCAGTGTTGATGCTGTCTGAGTAGCGACTGAAAATTTTCGCATTTCACAAATTGATTCAAATCGTACGAGAAATAGATTTTGAAACGTTATATAGGTCTATCATTTCAAATATTTTAAATATCCACAAAAACAAATTTTCACCTAATTTTGACCTACAGGATTTATCATTGACTTCGTTTCCGGACCTGTATCATCAGGGTTCACATCGGCAGTTGCTTTGATTATCCTCACCTCCCAAGTGAAGGATATTTTGGGAATCACAACTTCAGGAGACACATTTATAGCTACATGGGAGAGCATAATATCGGAAATACACAATACGAATAAATGGGATGCTATTATGGGATTTTCGTGTATTTTCTTGCTGTTAGTCATGAGGGTGAGTTGAATACCTATTATGTATACGTAGTCAGGAAATTGATTGAATCAGAGAGCTATTTGATATTGGTATAACGACATTTTTCATTTAGAATTATCTCTTATGTAATCAATACAGAATCCTTTCCAAGTTTACTATTGAAAATCGTTCTTTGCTCATCAATAAACGTCGGAACTTCTATATACAAGTATTGAAATATTGCACGTTCTTAATAATCATTTTTTTAGGTAATAGGTTCGACAAAATTCAAGGTCGAAGATGAAGTGAAGCCAAAATTCTATCAAACGATTTTCAACAAAATCACATGGTTCATCGGAACAGGCCGTAACGCCATCTTGGTACTCATATGTGGCTACATTGGTTTCATTTATTGCTCAAACGACAAACCACCATTCAGAGTCATCGGAAATGTTCCAAAGGGAATACCTGCTTTTAAGATTCCTTCCTTTGGATTCGAACAAGTTCAGAATGGCACAATGAAATCCTTTTCGTTTTTCGAAATGGTTTCTAATTTAGGAAGTGGGATCATCATTGTACCACTAGTCGGTCTTTTGGAAGATATAGCAATTTGCAAGGCTTTTGGTAAGGCTATTCAATTTTTGTTCCAATTTCATACTGAGAGAAATATTTTGATTCATCAAGATTCAAAGTGGCATTTTGTTCGTGATGTGAACTGAAACGCAGTCCAGCAATCGCAAAATTCATATTTGTCACTTGTTTTTCTTCTGATTTCATACTGAATCTAAGCGGGTGCTTCAACTGTGAAAAACTTGAAATTACCCTCAAAAATAACTCGTTATAATACGTTATTATGAGTTATTGTATCTCCGAGGATGGTTATCCGTTAATGGTTTCTGAACTTGTAATGAGAAAAAAACTGCAAATTCTATTGCTTTGATAGTACTTTATAAACTTTCTCACACCGACATTGGTTAGAGCCTCATACCAAGTGACCGCAACCAATTTTCCTTCCTATATCTTCGTTGCTATTTTGAATGAGTGTTCGAAGAAACTCTCAAGTATCACGCATGCGCTAATATGCTTATGAGTATCCTCCATTATCTTTGAATTCAACTTGAGAATACCTATTGATTATATCATATGCTCCATGCATAAAAGTGTTGCTGGAAGAATTCAAAAGTAAATTTTCGAGCTCATATTCGAAGAAAATTTCGAAAGAGGCAGAAACTACATTAGATTCATTAGAAAATATTTAGTAGTAGTACTAAACGTACTTCAAATTATTTGGTTTATTGGTACATCGATAACTTGTCAGATAATTACAAAGAGTATCAGAATAATCCGACCGCGGAGCAGGAGGAAATAGAAATAGAAATAGAAATAGAAATAGAAAATATTGAAGTTTGAATTGTATTCGATGCGATTATATTTTGGGTTGTTCTGACCGAATGTAGAAATTTGACGACGTGCTCTGTATGAATTGGTTACTATGGAAATGGAAATAATTCTAAATATCTGATCAGTGGAACTACTCAATGTATATCGACGTATATTCGAGATAATATATGCAAGGTAGCTGGACTCAATTGAACGTTCTGCTTGGTTAGAAATCATTCGGAGTGAATAATCATATACAGGGTGGACCAATAGTGTGACAAAGCCAGATTGCAGCTCTGCTATTAGAGATGGAAGGACCAAATTTTCACAGGAGTTGTAGGTCCAAGAGATGCATATTTCAAATTATCCTTCATTATCCAGTGTGTCTTGAAAAAGTGTGACATATCAAACTTATGTTCTTTAAATAGACCACCCTGTATTTTATTGCATTTTCATATTTTCTCTGAAGAGCTGAACTGAAAAATCTAGCACACTTGGGGTCTAACAGGAATGCTCACCGAGATATATAGGGTGTGGAAAAACGAGAGTTTTCAACTTTGAGAATTTTTTTGAGTCGAAACTAATCATCATTGGTCGAAAGGGCTTTCATGTCCCTATCTTGACCTTTGTAAAGGGTTAAAGGTACCCTTGACTTTATTCGGGCACTTGAAGCGGGTTCTACAATTATTTACAAGAAATGTTAACTCGGGCGCCACCTATATTATAGTGGTAGGTCCACTTGCACCGGGCAGCTTTCAGTGAAGAAACGGTAATCCAGGGGTCTGATATCTATCTCTCAAAATGATAAGTTGATCTCAATAATTGGTTTGATTTTTCCCGGATTACCAACTGCTCTGTTATAAAACAAAAATGAAACTCAATATCAACTAACTTGATTTATTCCTTAACTCTACTATACAATCATCTAGTGAATCTACTATCCTAAATATAATTTAGGTTCCTATGGCTCTTCCCCAGTATATGTACAAATTTACCCCAAGAAACCAGAAATCATTACCTTCTGTTGACGCGGAATGCAAAATGCATTTATAACTGAAAAATCTACTCATTAAATACAATCAAGCAATAAGCACGCAATCTAATTATCGACACAGGCAGGGTTAGAAAAGCATCTCTAGTACAAAGCCTCTAGCTCTCCAGCTCAAATAAAACTTTTATTTTCAAGCACAAGCAGTTAATAGTAAAATGAAAGTGCAGTTGCAGTGCTTCGGTTGACTCCGACAGGTAATCTCCTTTTTTTTTCGATGCACTTGGCAACACCGTCCTATCACGAGCGTGACCCAGTGATAGAGCCGTGCTGTACAATTGGATCGAAGATTTCCAGAACTCCCGTACTCTGATTCATCCGGCAACACCGTCCTACTACGAGCGTGACCCAGTAATAGAGCCGTGCTGTACAGTTGAATAAAAGATTCCAAGATCTCCGGTTTTCCAATTCATCCGGCAACACCGTCCTATTACGAGCGTAGCCCAGTAATAAAGCCGTGCTGTTCAGCTGAATAAAAGTTTCCAAGATCTCCGGTTTTCCAATGCATCCGGCAACACCGTCCTATTACGAGCGTAGCCCAGAAATAGAACCGTGCTGATAAACTGAATCGGATATCCGGAATCTTCGTAATTTCAATTCATCCGGCAACACCGTCTTATCACGAGCGTAGCCCAGTAATAAAGCCGTGCTGTTCAACTAAATTGAAACTCACGAGATCTAAGCAAACTCAAGAACGGCGGTATCCGTACTTGCAACCTACAAAAGCAGCACTGTTATCGTTTGCATATCAAGCGGACTCACCTAAGTAAGTATATTTTATTCTTCAATCACTTGCGGTATCAAGCGGATCGGTCTAGCGGTTTCTATTTTATTCCTCAGCGTGTACAGCGGTATATGCGGTCAGCAACAACTAACTTTTCTTGGTTCCTATCGACGGAGCTCGCCTCGGGTTCCCACTCTCACCCGAGAGTGGGGCGAAAATTGCGCTATCGCGCAGCCGACCGCCGTCCGTGAGTCTCGGCTATGCTTCGGATATCTCTATTTCGCTATCATTTGATTACTGATTAATCCAACCTATCAAAATTCTAATTCGCGCTCACGAACAAATTACAGTATTACTCCCGGAGCAATAAATGATTCAGTTACGAAAAAGAACGGCGCCGATAGCTTGTCATTTACTCAATATCATCATAGTTATTCTCTATACTAAGTATACAGGATGTCTCCCCTGAGAGTAATCAAATCTGAGTAACTTCGTTACATCCCCCCCTTACTTACAAAAAAAATAATTTTAATTATTTTTCATAGACTGACACTTCTGAAACAAATAGCAAACGCTAAGGGAAAATATGTATTTGAATAAAACTTCAATTCCAACCCTCACCCTACTCTAAAAATAATTTAAATATTTCTCCTTCAGCCGGCACTAACCTATCCCCACATTTCTAACCTAATTTTACAATAATACCCTATCGCGGACTAAAAAAAAAATTAAATTAAAAGTAAATCCTCTTCGGTGGTGTCCAATCCCTTATCCTGGAATCCCTGGTTCAATTCTACACACCGTTGTGCAGCCTCTGGAACGGCTTCGAACAGAACGGAATGGCTCGGGCGAGCTGGCATATCTCCCGAAGCTTCGGTTACAACTTCTGATTCATCAGAGTGGCTTTCTATTGTCGCCGACTCCTGAGAGGTCACTATCCCGGCGCCAGAGTGTGCGGGTATTTGCATGGCTCGCAACTGTAGCTGAGCCTTTGCTGCTGCGATCTCAGCATCTAGTGCTGGTATCCTCAACTGCGTCGGTACGGGTCTGGGGTTAACTGCAGACTTTCGGGGCATTATTCTGATTAGCTATAACAAATAAATGCTCATCTCTATCGGTTTCCTTCATGTCATGAGCTGGTTTGAGATCTTTTATGTGAACGCGGAGCAGCTTCTTACCAGAGGTGCTTTTGAGATCATATACTACTGGCGATATAACTTTTGTGACGGTATACGGCCCGGAATACTTGGGTGCCAATTTAGCGGCAAATCCTCTGGTCGCGGACGAAAGATGATGTTCCTTTTTCATGACCTTGTCCCCAAGATGACATCTCCATTCCCTCCTTCGGAGATTGTAATGATGACTCTGAGTCGTGAACGCTCGGGAAAGGTTAATTCGGACGAATTCAAACACTTCTCGGAGTTTGCCTAGTCTATTGGCTCGGTCTGTTGTTTCCTCTGGCACATTTTCTATATCATCAGTTACCAAATTCTCTGGACGGTAGACAGCTCCTGGTAATTCCAACTCCCTCCCATAGTTGAGGAATGCCGGAGTATATCCGGTGGAGTCATTGCGAGCTGTGTTGTAAGCGAACACTAGTTCAGGTAGGTGTTGATCCCATTTGCGATGATCGCCATCGCAGAACTGCGATATCATGGTCTTCATCGTCTTATTGGTCCGTTCTACAGGGTTCGCCTGCGGGGTATAAGGTGGAGTTAAACGATGTCCAATCTTAAGATCTTTCAACAGATCTCGAAACGGTGAACCAGTGTACTGAGTCCCATTATCGGTTATGACGGTTTTCGGACACCCAAACCTGGTGATTATTTCCTCATACAAAGCTTGACTCACTGCTTTTGCTGTTGCCTTCCGTATCGGGCGGCACTGGATCCACTTCGTGAATCTGTCTTGGAATACTACCAAGTAGTTATTCCCTTTACTCGAGCGAGGCAGTGGCCCGACCAGGTCAGAACTCACAGTTTCCCAGGGTTGTCGGTTGATGGATGGTTGCATCATTCCTGGTGTCTTCTGCTGCGAAGATTTATACTGCTGACAGGACTGACAACTCCGAACGTACTTAGCTATGTCCCTGAACATACCAGGCCAATAGTACCGACTAGCGATTCTGGCTGTGGTCTTGGCAATTCCGAGATGTCCAGCAGTGGGAGCATCGTGATTCTCCTTCATAACGGATGAACGGGCTGGTTTCGGGACGCACAACTTCCAGGGGTCGGATAGCTCTGGTTCGGAATAGTCGGATGAATCCCAAAAATGACGATAGAGTCTGTCATCTTTGAGGCAATAGTCTGGACTGGCATCTGGGTCCCTCAGAATTTCGGCCTTCTTTCGAGAATACCAAGAACAGTCTAGTGTTCCCTTAACGGCAGCAATGCCATCTCCAACTGGAGGCGGGTGTCTGGATAGGGCGTCAGCCACTCGGTTCAGGACTCCTTTTCGATACTTGATCTCAAA